GAAGCAACAGGACGATCAGATGGAGTAGGGCGAGACGTCTTGACTTGCCCCCAGGAAGCGAACAAGTCTCGGATAGAACGCACAATCTTGTCAGCATCCTGCAAAGAAAATTGCCTATATTAAAGATTCTCACTACAACAAACAAGATAGAAATAAAAGTGAAGCAAAGATTACCTCATCAACAATTGTGGAAGATGGCATGTCCTCAGCCAAGTCTGCCACCAATGACCCCTTCATTCGTGAGCACTTCCCCTTGTTTGAGCGAGAAGATGTTGCCACAACGGGCAGACTCATAGGAGTATTTGCAAAACTCAGGAGCAACAAATCAGAAACCAATAGCACAAGCAAAGGTAAGGCATCAAAAAACTGAATTACCTTCTGCTTCGATATTTGGGGGGTTGACGCCCTGAGAAGAAGGTGGCTCATCCATGGGTTGTGATGAGGATTCTGGAACTGAAGATGTCTCTTTAAGCGTAGTCCCCTCATCAACCGGTTTGGATGAAGCAACCTCAGTGGAGGATGATGGAGCAGAAGCTGTCGATGCCAAAACCTTTGAAGGAGAGGCTGAACTTTTCTGAGAAGTCCAAAAAATCATCAGCACACAGAAAAGTTTCAAGTATGGAAAAGTATGCTTGTGAGTAAATCAATTTAATTACCTTCCTCCTGACGATAAGAGGGGTATCATCATCATCATCATCATCATCATCAACATCATCCTCCAGAATGGGAGATGCTGAGGCTGGCCGTTTGCGGCTTGGGGCACTCTTGCTAATGAAAAACTTGGCAGGGAGAGAAGAAGATGGACGAGCAGACTGTTTAGCGCGACGAGGAGGAGAAGGACTCCTGATGGACAAAGGAGTGACTAAAACAGGAGGAGGGGAAGAAATGCTCGGCTGGTCTAGTGAATGAAAGGCACGATTGGTATCAGCCGCAAATAATCTGCGCTTCACTGACGGCCAGAGCTGTTCAAAAAGAGGATGGATGGCGTGGCTAGAATTGAAGGGGGCTAATGAAAAATAGTTGGTTAAAAGAAGATTGCGAGCATTTATAGCCTCTGCCTCCGCCTTATTAATAATATGAAAACGGTCAATTAAGTTCCTTGAATAGCAAGGAGGAACAGGCCAAGTTTGGCCGAAACCAAGCTGGCGAGCAAAAAATTGGGGAGCATAAATTTCTACCCCTGCCTTGGCATTGGTTCCAATTAAAATATCATGAAATAGCTCCCTCCCGGTTAAAAACTGGATCCAAATGAGTAGGGAGGTGCTCGCGCTGTCTATAGTGGAGGGGGGATGTACATAGTCTGGAGTCAAAAAAGAAGGAAAAGGAAAAAAGAAAGAGATTGAATCCAAAAAATAAAAGAATGAAAAAATGTCCCTTCTGGACATATTTACAGGAGCCAAGGGCTCCATGGCTAGCCCATAACAGCTAGCAGAGGAGTGAGAAATTGATGGAGCACCAAGCAATGGAAAATAGGATCTCAACCACAGTTGAGTGAACCAAAGAGGTCCACTACCAGTGGGAGATGCACCATTCTTCAATTGAGTTTGAAGAGAGGACATGCCTCTATAAAGGGCAGCCAAAAAGAAAGAACATAAATTCAAAGGCCTGCCACGCGCCAATTTATGCGCTATGGGTAAATAACTCAGGGAGGGCTTTATGCTTAGCACACACAAAACATATTTACAAAGCCAAACTAGAAGAAAAGCCACTCTCTCAGTATGGGAAGGCTCAGCGCTTGAATGATTGTGAAGGGTTTGTAGGCTTGAATAAGACTCGGTGTAATTTCTACCAAACTTTGGGGCGCCACCAGAAACCAAGATACCAGGAAAAATGGTATTGCCCAAAAGTGGTAGATTCACTAGGGCCCCAACATCCCTTAAAGTAATAGATATGGGGCCAAGAGGGAGAATAAAGGTATTACACTCAGAAGATCAAAAACTCAAAGCAATCGAAAAAAGTGCTGAATCAAAAGTAGGGGGGTGAATAGAGATTTCTAACAAATCAGAAATCCTAACATTATCAAAAAGTGCCTTAGTAGGACCATGGCCCACAAGACGAGCATGCCACCTACGGAAAGCTACATCAGATTTAGGCCAAGTGCGAATACCTCTTTCGCGAAGTGGCCCCAGCGGCAGAGAGTTTAGAAATGGAGGGCCTTGAGTACAAGGAAACAGCTGACCCACAGCCGCCTGTTCAACTGTCTCTGCATTGTTGAAGAAAGGACCTAAGTAGAACTCATTGCGTTCGACATCGGCGGGCGCGAGAAAACTCGAAGTTATGTATGGACGATTCAGAAGTTTCTGAAAGTCATCAAAACTAAAGGAGTCGCCAGCTTGAGATTGTGAAGTAGTCATTTGAGATGGAACGAAGCTTTTCAGGGTTACGTAGCAGGGAAACAAAAGATGAACAGTAAATCGTGGGAGAAACGCGAAAAATTTGAGGCGTGATTTAATGGTACGGTGAAATGGCGTGTTTGGGGGTTATAAGGGTTTGCAAAACGACGCACCTTTTCAAGTTATGGAAGAAAACAATGATTGAAATTCTTGGAAATCTCGAATGTTGCTGGAAACACAAAGTGAATATGGCAAAATTTAATAATTATTATTAATTCTGCCATATTTGGGGGTAATTGTTGACACATAAAAATTCAGTCCAAATCGAACGGCCTAAGGAATGAAGCCCAATTGGAGGATCCCCAAATCAGATAGCCCAAAGAACGAAGCCCAATCAAACAATTCAAGATGAAGGCCTAAATAGGGAGGCCCAAGAACGCAGTAACGCCATCGCCCAAATTTGCAAGTCGCCCAGAATCTGAGCGAATGGAGTGCCATGCAGTCATCCAGAGCTGTTACTCTATTCTCGTCCAAACCTTTAAGTCGCCCAAAGTCTTAACAAACATAAAGCGTTGTGGTTATCAAGAAGTGCAGTTATCAAAGCAGTTATTAAAGCAGCCCTATCACGTTCCACGATTCAAGGAATTCAATCGAAAACGGTTGAACAACGAAGAGTAATGGCAGTAGTTAAAAAAGGCAGTTTTGATGACAAGCTGGCCATTATGAGGAAAGCGGACAGTTGTAGAACGATCAAACAGTTTTTAGGCGGTTGATCACAAAAAAGATCATCCATGGAGTATAAAAGGGAGAAAATGCATAGAGCAAAAGGACCAAATCAAAAACTCTCGAACAGAGAACATGTAATTTTAATTTCCTTAGTTTTAGACTAAAACACTTTTTCAGTAACTCGTGTGCTTGCGCCCCTTGGAGGCATTTTGTTTTTGATTTCCAATTGTAAAGTTATCACCAATAAAAGAACACCTCTTTTTGGGACTTTGTCTCAAGAGATTTGTCCTTTACATAATCGTCTGATCCTTTTTAATTGTTAACGACTAACCTGCGCGAAACAGAAAGGTTAAAGCTTCTGGGAAAAAAAAGTGTCTAAACAAATTGCTAAATAAAATAATGAATTCAAATTTTAATGGAATTAAAGGCAACTTTGTCGTCCACTCAAGAATCAGCTGGATGGAGAAAATTATAGACCGTACTGATATTTGTGTAATGAATAACAATTGAGAAATTCTTTATATTTATTATTATTATTATTATTATTTTATTATTTTTTTAACCATTTTGAGGGGTGGTTATCATTGGCCTTCTAATCAATGTTACAGGTGGATCTAGAAATTTTTCGTGTAAATGAGAAAATCCAGCTAAAGCGTTTGTTTTGCGTTTCTATTCTCTATTTTCAATTTTGAATTCATTTTCTGTTTTCTGTTTTGAGGGATTATTTTAAGAATGCAAAAAACGCGTTTGGTTTATCATTTGAAAAACTGTTTCTCAAAACAAAACAAAAAATAGAAAATGAGTTTGGTTTAAAAATTTTAGAAATAGTTTTATGACATTTTCTTTTCAATTAATTTAAAATTTGATTATGCTAATTTATGATAAAAAAGCAACTTTTGTTATCATGAATGAACCTATCTCCAGCTCCAACTGCACCAGCCTCCTGTGATCTTCATGAACCTATCCATCAGTGCTACCATCATTCACCCACGAGACGAGCACACGATCAAATGAGTCCAAACCCCATTTGGCGTTGCTTAAAAATTTGGTAAATATTTAACTCAAAGTCAATAATTAATTTGAATTACAAATTTCATAGGACCAACAATTTTTTATCAACTTTTAACCACACATTTCATCGACTTTTATCAAAATTTACTAAAAGTCTCATTTTTAACATTGCCAAACAGGGGCCAAATAACAATTGGTCCAGTTGGTCACTGTGTTCATCCATATGTACAATTGTTTCTCTCCGTCCAAAAGGATTATGCATATACGTTCAAACTTCTCTATTGCTGGTAAATGGTTTCTGAGAAGTTTTGGTTGTTGAACGTTGTTTGTGGGAGTATTATGCTATAGTAGTAGGGTTCGTTTTCCCAAAAAAGTGATATTATTACCAGTAGATTGAACAATAGTTATCTTGTGATGGCTAATAATGGTCCATTAGTTAATATTATATTTAATGACTGCTATAAATATTATCAATATTTCAATAATTATTGTGTTAAGGTTATTAATACCATTACGAGCAAATCTGGAACAATTTGCATTACCACCACAAAAATTTTTAATGACAACCGAATATTCGATGACTGGTTAGCCATCGTGTAAGCTATAATCAAAACAAATATTTTTATTTCACATTAAGAACCATGCATGGAACCTTCTGGTATTAGTACACAATAACATGACATGGGAATTAAAATCAACATGAAACAGCACCTCATTAACCAATGGAAAAGTCTCGTTACAAGGATTACGCTTTTCAGGGCACTTATCCTAGCAACTGATTTTGATTCGAAAATTTTATTTTGTAAAAAGACGGATAATAGGAAAACAAGCAAGTGGTTATGCAATGATATCCCACAATGTGACGATTCAATCTCTAACGATTTGATTAGGGTCGACTGCATAGAGATTTATCGTTTTTTTGAAATCGCGCTAAATCTTGCGCAGAAAGAGTGGAGCACCATACTGTGGTTGCACAGTAAAAATAACATAGGGAGCATGTGTATAAGTTGGTGCAAGCTCAAAGGAGAAGTTGCTCAGAATATTTGCTAAGACAAGTTTGGCTTCCAATAGAGAGTAGTTCTGTCCAATGCACACTCGGGGACCTGAACCGAATGGGAAAAATGCAAGGCGCCCATTTGTTGCTTTCAATACTCCTTCAGCGAACCTTTCTGGTTTAAACTCATTTGCATCTTCGCCCCACAAGTCTGTGTCTCGGTGAAGTATGATTATCGGCAACATCAATAGTGTATCGGCTGGGATAGTGTATTGTCCTAACTTTGTTTCTTCTTCAACCAGTCTAGACAGGTCAACAATTGGTGGATACAGCCGTAATACCTCATTGAAAATCATTGTTGTTTGTAAGGATGATAGAGGACCTCAAATAATAAGAGAAGAGAATGACGAAGACACCCTATTCATTTCTTGATGATTAACGTTGAAAAAACTTGAGTGACAATAAAAGAATTTCTTATAGACATGAAAAAACCAAATTAAGAATAATGATACTGGTGCTAGAGCATCAGTTTAGGTGTCGTGCAAGAGATAGAACATCTTAAATGTGATTTATTTTTCTACACTTAAGGTGATCTATCAATTAATAATGATACTTAAACGCTATCTAAATTATTGTATAGCACCAATGGTACTAAATAACATTACTTGAATCCAATACCAAGGCGAATGAATCCAGTATAACTACATTTTCTAATCCGAAAGGTGAGATTTGCATCATTTCGGTCTATCACACACACATATATTCATTACCAAACACGTTTCTTTCAAAATTATTCATCTGTTATTTGTATGAGTCCATTATAGGATTAAATATATGTTTTAGGTCACTAAACCTATATCAAAATTAATACAAGTATGTCCATGCTTTTTCTGATGATTTTCAACTTTTCTTTTTTAAGATAACTATGGAAACATATATATTTGTGAAGTATATAAAATTAAGACTACTTACAATTTTCAGTTTGCGGTCACCGAAGACTTGAAAAACCTCTTGTCTAGCACGTTCTTGCCAATTTTGATGGATACTAAGTAAAATCATGGTCCAAACGAGCATAGCTGTGGTAGTCTCATGTCCTGCGAAGTAAAATAACTGAACATTTCCAATCAAATCATCCATATTCTTGATTCCATGAGTTTCTGCGAGTTCAGATTCCAACAACACATGAAAGAAGTTGTCCTCCATAGTTTTTCCTGCCTTAATTCCCTTTGCCCTTTCATTTATCAGAATCGAAAATGATTTTCTTAATTCCTTTTTTTATCTGTTTTGACCTTCGATTTGTCATAGTGGGAAGATACCTACACCAAATTGAGAAAATTGTCAATATACTAACAAGAAGACACAAAAGACCTACAATGATGAATATTAAGACGAGTACAAGACGTCGAATTTAAATGAAGAGTATCAGTAAATAATATAAACCGACATTTCTTAAGTTAAACCTCCATTTTCATCGTTTTGAAAACAATGGACAATCGTGCTGAGAGTACAAACATCATTGTAAACATACGACGACAATGTAAGTGCAATAACGTACTTTGCTCCCGGTAAATCAGCTATTCGGGTTGTCTGTCTCGCAATAGCGGTCAATTCTTTAAGAATTTCATAGATCCTTTTATCCTGAGCATAGTCAGTGGAAAATAAAGTTCGGGACACTACTTTTGTGGTCAAGACTTCTATATGAGACATCACGTCCACCACACAGGAGCCATCCTTGGAGCTCGACACCAAGTTCTTCCATTCGTTCACAATTTCATCGCAGCTTACTTGAAATGCAGGTATCATTTGCTACATAATTAAAAACAAAATATTGAAAAAAAAATGTCAATAATGTGTTAAGATTAATTATACAGAAGAGGGGGAAAAAGATATTAATTGGTACAAAAATTTTACCTTAATTTTTTCCAGTTGGAAAATTGGATTTTGAGTCTTTCTGTTTTTGCTCCATTCTTCTCCCTCTTGATTAAGGATTCCACTAATAAGTGTTTGTACTATATTATTGGTTACCTTAAAATTCTTTTTGAAAATATTGTATTTACTCATCACTGTTTTCATCAACTCAGGATCCATAATGAGCACCCGAGGTCTCGGTCCAACCCACATGAACGACATTTTACCTTACAAAAAAAAAAAAAAAAAAAACCTTTTTAAAAAGAAATTATGATAATGCAAATACAATTAGTGCATGCATGGATCAATTATTACATAAATGCAGGTACCTAAGATACGTGCTTCTGGTTTGCTGTTTTCAAACTGGTTTTAGTTTTGCAAAATACAGAAAATATGTTTGGTCTGGTATTTCAGTTCTCAGTGCAAACCACTAAAATACAAACCAAACGGGCACTTAGTTTCCACTCACAAATATTTGGAAGTTCATTAGAATTCATTTCTAAAAAAGTGCATAAGTTTCCTTGAAGATACCGTATTTTTCAATGGTTTTATGAACGAAGGGCATGACACGGGGAACAGCTTCGTCGTGAATATTGATAGTCTTTCGCAAGGCTTCAGCATATTCGACTGAGTTCTCTTTTACGTCTCCAAACAGAAGCCTGGTCAGGGTATATGGGTTCCCTTTGAAGCCTTGCTGCTTAAGCATCCTCTCCTTCTTCTTAGGTTTAAGCCAAATCCGATCCATAATTCTCCATCCCAATATCAGAAATGCTGTAATGAACAACATTGAACTCCATATATTTTTCTCACTCCCGCCAACTATTTCTGTCTTCATGTCTGATGTGTGTGTGTGTGTGTGTCTTAGAAAGAAGAGTGCGATTGAGAAGAAGCAATCCAAGGTATCTATAGAAGAATTTGGACGTGAACTATCATTGTAAAACAAGTAAAATAATTCATGCATGACACGAGACAATACAGTACTATAAATATATAAAGTATATATCCCATGCTATGACACCTGATTGGTATTGCTAAAAAATCTAAGTCAAAGAAAGCTATTAATTTCATCTCCACATTTTATATAGGATGCACAATTATTCAAGTACACATTCTATCAATTTTTATTAACATTTGCTAAAAATATGATTTTAATATCTTCCAAACAAAGGCATAACATGAGATTTGATCTTTATATCATAGGATGTAAAAGATACTTATTTCCCAAGCATGTTGTTCTAGTTTATAATCCCCCATTAAATAAAGATAAAAATATAGATAAATTTATAAAGATTTGTTGATATTTCTCTTAATAAGGTGACATTTTTAAGATGGTTCATCAAATTTTAATGAGGTATCAAAGCCCATTGAACTCAATCGAGTAGTTCGGTCCATTTAAGACTCAAAAAAATGATTACACGGATTTCAATATTGATTTCCTCAAATAAACCACTATTTTGCTGGGCATATTAAAGGATAAAATGACACATCGAACAAAGATGAAAACATAGACCAATTTATAAGGGGTTGGATTACTCTTTTTAACAATGTTAACCTTTTAAGATGGATCCCCAATTCTTAATACAAAATGCCACTTGTTACCCTTCAGCATTATTTTCATGGAATTTGGATCAAACACGTAAAGTCCAAATGAAATCGGAAAAGCTAACATTGATATCAGATTGGTAATCTCCTTATAATCTCGTCGAGACATTGCATGATGCAAAAACAAATTGAAAAAAGCTGCACGTACAGGTGCATTTTCACAGGGATTGTTTGGAGGAGGGCCCCACATGTATTTAAAAAAAATTATGGGGCCCACCCCCACTTGTTTCTTGCCTAGTAGGGATCGAAACAGGTCCTGTACGTGCAGCTTCACTGAAACAAATTAGGCTTTCCACATTGTCAAAATAAGACGCACATACAAATATGTTGTCAAGTTATCAATTTCTTTTTAGTAATAATATACAATAGCTAAATGTTGACATTATGAGTGATGGGTAGATTTTGCTGTCATGGAATACCTGTTAGAGGACTAAAAATAACTTCTTACGACTGTCAACGAAAAAATCGTCATGAAACTTGCTCCATTAAAATGAGATTTTGGGGGAATTTAACATGTGCTTTGGAATAATAATTTTTGGAGAATATAGTTAAAAAATGAGGAAAACATTTTATTGTACGTATAGCTTTATTTTATGGAATAATGTGATTGAAAACGAGTTACGTACAGAGTCTTAATTTCTATGACAATTGCCAATTTCTGTAGAGTACTAGTCATCTTACCCGTAGTGTTCCCATTTAAGGTGTTCTCTCAAAATGGAGATTCACTTGTATGAATTTCTTTTCTTTTCTTTTCCTTCCTTTTCCTACTAAAATAATGGTATTGCTAGCGACTACATGATGATATAGTTTGCACGCAAATATACAAATCCAGGTTTTTCCACAGTGGCATGCTTTCTTTTCAATCCAGATTAAGTAATGATTGGTCCTTAACACCAACCTATTGGCCAAAACCGTAATCCTTTGATTGATGGAATGAATTTTACATCAACAATTTTATTAAATTTTTATTTGATTATCGATAGCGATGATAAATTTTTGTTTCAAATTGATGACAAGTACTTTTGTAACTCGGTTGAGAAGACGCTTTTTCTGAATTGTTTTAACCTTTTTCACGCATGATTTCTAATCCCCTCCTTAAAAGATTAAATAATTATAAGATGTCAAAATTTATAAACCAATTGACTGGTAGGTTTTGAAAGCATTGAGGTGATTTAAATTTCTCTACAGAAATATAATAAGCATTTAAATAAGATTGAGCTTTTCCACGGAATTTAGCATATGTTTAGCCCTATTTTTTCAAAAACTCTCTTTATTTTATTTTTTTTTCAAAATTCGTTCTCAACCACACATTCTCCCATAAAATAATTTTACATTCAAATTTTTTTCTTATTTTTTAATCACACATTCTCCAATAAAATATTATTTTAAAATACATTTTAACCAAAAATGGAGCTCAAACTAGGGCATAATATGACCACCACTTGCAGTCAGTTGATTTAAGGTTATATTATTATCGATAACTATTGTAGGTTTAATAATGACAGTGTATCATGTGATTCATGTCCAAAAATTTCACATCTACGTTATTGAGCAATCTTTAATTGAGAGTAAACCCAACACAAAATCTACACATTTTGTGTTTAGTGGCACGTGTTGAAGTTATTAAGAAATCATCCCATATTTAATTAAGTAGACAAAACACATGGCAAGACGCTAAGTATGACTTGTCACACTTGGAAACATACATCATTATTTTCAAACTTGCAGTTTGATTTATTTGTTAATGCAATAATTGGATGTGCTAAATTTTTTATTTTTTTTAATTTTTAATAATTTAGATCATTTTTAATCATAATTCTGAACACGTTATATCTACTTATTGTAACGATATTTCACAAAGAAAAAGTTATTGTGATCTTAGCAATGGTGCACATCATGTACGTCAACAAACTTATTATTTTTTTTATAGAACGAATTTATTGTTCATTGACATCTAAGATTAGATGAATAATGGCAATTTTCCAATAGTATGGAAATCCACGTAAGTAAAGAAGTAACGATGCACTAGATGCATGAATCTGATGTCCTAAGCATAGTGAGAGAAGGACAACAATGTCTTTTTTTTTTCTTTTGATTATATTCAAGAAAATATTTGATACACAATATTAAATTCGATTAAATATAATTTTAAGTTTATCAAACACCTCACCGAGGATGTCAATTGACATATAAAGTTATTGTGACTTTATAAATGGACACTTATTTTTTTATAATTAAGTGGTTCGGAGAAGGACAATTTTATCATTTACACCCACATCAAAATTTTTAAATGAACAGTTTTGAAAAATGTCCATTTAATTTACAATGTATCATGTGATTGAATGATTGATGTCCAAATTTTTTTATTTAACAATGTATCACGTGACTCATGTCCAAAATCTTTACAGCTAAGTTATTGAGCAATCTGTTAATTATCAAAAATAATATTTTGAATAGTAAATTTTTGGATAATGTGTAGTTAAAAAATAAGAAAAATTTTAAATTTACGTGTAGAATATTTTATTATGTGAATGCATAGTTTGAAATTGAATACATAGAAAAAATAGTTAATTTATAAGGGTATCAGGGGCTGAATTTATACGTAGACAAAACACAAGAATCTAAATGTCTTGTCACACTTGGAAACATACCATTAATTTCAAACTTACAGTTGGATTTGTTTGTTAATGAAATAATTGGATGTGCTCAACGGAAGACGAAGAAGAAATTTCCAGCACATTATTTCTTATATAGTGGAACATTTCTCTTATTGATACCCCGTAGATTTTCTTCTATTTTTGGAGTTTTTCATGTAATTTCTTGGGTAAATTTTCTCTATATATTTCACATTTTTATGTCTTATTAGTATTATCTATGAATGATGATATTGTAAGCGAGCAAAAGAATTAGTTTCGATTCTCAATATAGTTTTTTTTTGTTAAAAACTGAAAGATGTATATGGATAAATTTCTATTTCTTTTTTAAGATGGTGAGGAACATGAAACACATGATTTTACACCATGAGCTCAATGTGTAGACATATAAGACATCGGTAACTAAATTTTGCATGTTAGATGAAGCTGTTAAATATTAGACAACAAGAGAAAATGATATTATAATCTTAATCTTTAGTATGTTAAAAATCAAATGAAATAAATATAATTTTGTGGACAACTTTATCCAAGTAACATTTAAACAATTTCAATAATAAGCTTTTTATTTTTTAGTGTAATAATGAATAACAAAATACATTAATTGAATCAATTTACGAAATTATTCAATTCCATAGAATACAATATATCAAATCCTTGATATGTATTGTTTCCAATATTGCTTATTTGGTTAAATAGTTTCTCAAATTCTTAGAAGAAATGCATGTCTAAGCATTGATAAAAGTTGCTATAGTTGGTTAATGAATTTTTTGAATAAATGTCAATGGTTAATTATTTTATGAGACAAAAGAAAATTCAAATATAATGCGCACACAAAATATTCGCATTATAACTTGTCCCCTAAAAATAGTAGACTCTTCATTTAGTTTATTAAAATTGTTGAAATCGTACTTTTATCTCCATTGGTTGTCAATTAAAAAAATTACATGATTCATCTGCCAATCTCTCTTCTAGCTTTATTATTGTTTTTTCTTGTACGATCAATATTTCGTATTGTGTCATATAAACTACCAATTTCGTAACAAGTGGTATCAGAGCAAGGTTTTGATTTTGTTTGAGGTTTCTGTTATCGGTGGCAGCTATGAAGTATGAAATTATGCTTTTGGATCGCAATACAAAATTTTCATTGTGGCAAGTGAAAATGCAAATAACAAGATGGCCACAACTTGGACAACAAAGGAGAAATAACAGAAGGATCGAAAGGCATTTTCACGAATTCATTTTCATCTCTTTAACAATATTCTTCAAGACATTTTCAAGGAGAAGATAGCAATTGCATTACGGTTGAAGTTGGAGCAATTATGTATGACTAAAAATCTAACGAGTAAATTGTATATAAAGCAGATGTTATATTTTCATCGCATGGTAGAAGGCAGATCTTTGAAAGATCATCTGTCTGTGTTGAAGGAGATCGTCGTCGATTTGGAGATATTAAAGGTTAAGTATGATGAAAAAGACTTGGCCTTCAGTTAAAGTATTTGGAGCTAATTCTGCTACAGGGTGAGCTTTGACCCTGTTGTTCACGTATCATTTGTGGATACTGTGAAAAAAAAAAGAGTAATTTT